ATCTTATTCCATAGTTGTGGTTACAGGGATGTTAAGAAAAGACTTTGCCTAAATTTTACTATGGCTGTTGATTCTTGTATTGCATTGAATATTGAGAAATGTTCTAAACCAAGCAACCAAGGTTCTGCAGACAACGGTTCATGTTTATGCAACACACTTGGGCCTCTGCAAAGCCAGAATTAATCAAAGTGAAATTCTAGCCCCATCTTAATCCTTTATCCAGCCTTTTAAGCTTAGCTCACACCAAAGGGAATGTTAACAAGTGGCTATCCCAGCTCAGTGATGTCAGTTTTGGCAAGAAAGAAGAAATGATGTCAATGAATGATTATGGCCAGACTATGACATATGGAGAAAGTTCTGGATTTATTTATTTAAACGATTTACAGAGCCACTCCTCTCACAGCAGTGGCTCTGGGTGGCGCACAAAGATTTAAAACCATCACAAAAGTACAAACTCATGATGCCCCAATTAAACAATAACCCCTAAAACAAAACCACATTACTGACATCAACAGAGCTTGCTTAAGTGCCTGGCCAGAAGCCTGAGGGAACAGCCAGGTCCTCAGAGCCTTACAAAAGGCTAACTGGGGCCACCTGGATCTCTGGGGCGGGGGGGGGGGGAAATGCTGCTCCATAGTGCAGGTGCAGCCACAGACAAGGCACTACTCCGGGGTCCAAGAAGCTGGCACTGTTTGAGGGGACTCCAAGCATGCTCTTCCTGCTAGACCTGGAGGGGCTGGCAGAGACAGTGGGGAATGGGCAAGCAAATAGTTTTGTCCTAGGCCATGCAGGGCTTTATAGGTGGTAACCAGCACCTTGAATTAGATTAGAAGCCTACTGGGAGCTACTGCAGCAGAACAGGAGATGCCAAAAACTGCCTGCACTGCTGATTCTGGACCAGCCGCAGCTTCCAAACACTCTTCAAGAGCAGCCCCATATACAGCGTGTTACAGTAATCCAAGTGGGGGGTGACTAAAGCATGAATCAGCCTGAGCAAGGCCTCCCAGTCCAGGAAAGGGTACAATTGATGCACAAGATAAATCTGTGCAAAGTCCCCCCTAGCCATGGCTGCCACCTGCTCTTCTAGCAGGAGCCGTGAGTCCAAGAGAACCCCCAAATTGCACACCAGCTCTGACTGGGATGTCACTGATGGCAAGGAAGTAAGCAGAATAGATAACTTCAGGCTTTGGGGGATGGCCAGCCACCCAGCAACACCATTTTCTTCATTAGCAACTGCAAAGAGTGAAAGTTTCAAACTAATTGTAAATCAGGAGTTGGCAACCTTTTGGTCTAAGGGCCACAATTTTTGAGGTAGCTGGGGCCACATGGGGAGGACTGATGCTGAACGGGCAGGACACACTTAATGGAGCTACTGTTCCCAGCTCCAGAAACCCTCTTATTACAGATAGTTAGGCGGTAATAAAATTCCTATAGTTTTTTTTTTTTTTAACCTTGCTTTGAGCTTCATTTATTTTAATAGTGTTTTACTGAAAAAACAACCATGGCTTGCAATCTAAAAAAAAAACTAAGCCAAAAAGAAAAAAAATCAAATATACCACATGATGGCTTAATACGATGTGTGAATTCAGCAAAAGAAAGTCTGAATTATCCAGCTGAATTAATGCTGTTGGGGTTTTCTTGTTTTGCTAGGAAAAAAAAGGTTTC